TCAGGGGAAGGCCTCGGCCTCCCTGCCCTGTTGCTGGCCCTCCAGAGGGACTGGCTGGCCCCTGTGTGAGACGGGCGGCTGGACTAGAGGGACCCTCACTGGTCTGACCCATTAGGGCTCTTCTGGTGTCCTTCTCAGGGGAAGGCCTCGGCCTCCCTGCCCTGTTGCTGGCCCTCCAGAGGGACTGGCTGGCCCCTGTGTGAGACGGGCGGCTGGACTAGAGGGACCCTCACTGGTCTGACCCAGCAAGGCTCTTCTGGTGTCCTTCTCAGGGGAAGGCCTTGGCCTCCCTGCCCTGTTGCTGGCCCTCCAGAGGGACTGGCTGGCCCCTGTGTGAGACGGGAGGCTGGACTGGAGGGACCCTCCGTGGTCTGACCCAGCAGGGCTCTTCTGGTGTCCTTCTCAGGGGAAGGCGTCGGCCTCTCTGCCCTGTTGCTGGCCCTCCAGAGGAACTGGCTGGCCCCTGTGTGAGACGGGAGGCTGGACTGGAGGGACCTTCACTGGTCCGATCCAGCAGGGCTCTTCCAGTGTTCTTATGTGTGTCAAAAGTGCATGTGCCTCTGATGCTTGTGAGGAGCTGCTAGCAGCAGGAAAGAAAGCGGTTGACTGCTGGAGTTCGCTTGCCCGTAGCACTGGGGATTGCAGCATCTTCATTTAGGGGCCATGAGAGAGAGACAAGCCGGGGTGGGGAGCTGGCCATGGGTCAGCAGGGCATGAGGTGGGTAGAAATAGTCCCTCCAGGGGGATCCAAAAGAGATGCTGCTGGTTACCGGCAGGAGAACCCTGAACCTGTCCTTTTGATAACAGCTTTTTTCTCCGTCTTCAGCCTCCCGTACGGCTGGGTTGCCATCTTCTCTCTGTGGCTCGGAACCTCCATCAATCTCCCAGGCGCCACTTTCCCCTGATTCCCATTGTGGTGGAGCAGACGGTAAGTTGAGCATGTAGAGTGGGGGCTCCTCCTTCTGTGTTTCCTTCTGTGTGTCCTCTACGAAGCTCCTGTGTGGGGGGAGACCGTGGCTCAGTGGCAGAGCCTCTGCTTGGCCTGCAGAAGGTCCCAGGTTCACATATCCAGCATCTCCAGGTGAAAGGACCAGGCAGGAGGCGATGGGAAAGACCTTGACCTGAGACCCTGGCTCAGTGGTAGAGCCTCTGCTTGGCCTGCAGAAGGTCCCAGGTTCACATATCCAGCATCTCCAGGTGAAAGGACCAGGCAGGAGGCGATGGGAAAGACCTTGACCTGAGACCCTGGCTCAGTGGTAGAGCCTCTGCTTGGCCTGCAGAAGGTCCCAGGTTCACATATCCAGCATCTCCAGGTGAAAGGACCAGGCAGGAGGCGATGGGAAAGACCTTGACCTGAGACCCTGGCTCAGTGGTAGAGCCTCTGCTTGGCCTGCAGAAGGTCCCAGGTTCACATATCCAGCATCTCCAGGTGAAAGGACCAGGCAGCAGGTGCCGCGAAAGACCTCTGCCTGGAGAGCCACTGCCGGTCTGAGTAGACAAGGCTGACTTCGATGGACCAATCAGACCGAGGGTCTGATTTATGTGTTCGTGCATCCCTGGAAGAGAGGGTTAGGGACAGTGTTTCCTCTAAGCTGAGTCAGTGTGAGCCAGCTCGCAGTTTTTTAGCCTCCGGCTCACACATTTTTGTCTTAGTTCAGGAAGGATGGCTCCAGAGCAAACTAATTTATGCAGTAGCCCAATCGCTCGCTCACAACGTTAATGCCAGTGGCTCACAAGACTCCACTGCTTAGAGCAGGGGTGTCGAACTCATTTGTTATGAAGGCCGGATCTGACATAAATGAGACCTTGTTGAGCTGGGCCACGTCTGTCATAAAAGGTAAAAAAGACCAGAATTTGTACAGGATGGAGTGACATACATTCAACTCACACAAGTTTGTGATACCAGAATTATTGGTGGACTTTATTTGGCTAAACTGGAGGCCCATCTTATAGAATAATAACATACAATACAGAAGGAAACAACATCTGGCCTTCTCCTGTATATGTACATCTTATGTAAAAAAATTTTTTGAATGTATGTCAAATTTGTAATTGGAATTGTGACCACTGAGGAAGGCCCTTTGAGGGGCCGAAACGCGTTTGGTTCAGTTGCACAGCACTAACCCATCTATGTATGAATGTTGAGAAGTTTTTTTATGTCTGAATGGTACATTTTTAATGAGTCTAAGTTTTAAAATGTGTACACCTGAATAAATTTTGCATTTTTATAATATTTTGAGTCAGCTTAACCCTTGTGGATTCATAAAAGGTAATGCCAGGTAGCGGAGAGATAAACTTTATAAAGGACACAAACACAAAGGGTTTTTTTAACTTAAAATAAAAACATGCGTAAGACATGAGCACTCTTGCAACATTTTCTTTATTTAACAGTGTCTGATAAAACTGACACCTCTTGCTCTGAATGATTGCATTGAAATGTCTGTGCTGTTGCAATCTTGAGTATGCTGTTCAGGTGTGTATCTGTAAGCTGCAAACCTATGATGATGCAGCAGCAGAACTGGAAGAAGAAGC